GCTGTGAAGAAAATGAACTCCATCCCAGCCAGGCCCAGTACACCTGCTCAGCGCTTAACTCGAGCTAATGAAAGCTTCCATGGAAGTGTTTTTCAGAATAAATAATGAGACTTCTGTGTGGTGTATACTTGTTGAAGAAAGGGCTAGGTATGTGTCGTGTCAAATAATCAAAGTTTCTGTGAAGCACCTATTTGATAATTACTGTTCAACTCAGGAGTGTATGAGTTCAGTTTGCTGGCATAGAGTTTTAATTTGTCATCTTGTTTTTTATTTACACAATATATCTGTGTCTCAGATTTTTGTAGTCTTCTCTGATTGTATTTGATCTCTGAGTTCACATATTTTCTCTAGCACATCACTGCTCATAGTCTCTTCTGCTTCCACATAATAAATACACTAAGCAACCCTGTAGCTGGTATCAGACTTTCTAAATATCTATACTTATGATATAATGAAACTGGGCTATTTACTTTCTTTGTATTCCTTTTGTCATGGAACACATGACAACGATCTGTCTCCCCGTTCTTTGATAGTCTCTTGGGAGACTTTAAAATGGTGTAAATAAACCAGTTATTCATCTAGTGCTTCAGCATACTGAAAGAATTGTAGATAGGAAGGCCATTTTTCTTTTAATGGCCCTGCTGTCTACACTTAGTCATATGATTTGCTAGATATTTCAGACTGTAGATTTATGTGCTATCAAGTGAGGGAATTATTTGTCTAATCTCAGGAAACTGAAGTCTACCAAAATATAAATCTGACTTACTATTTTGTGCTTCTTTGGAATAATACTCTTGCTTAATGAGACTGTGCATGATTTTGTTAATATTTCAGCTCTTTCACTGCTAAATTCTTTCCATTAGCTCATGATGGATGTTCTGTTTTATTTAGAAGAATGAGCATTGCGTTCATTAGGCAAACTTCATTAAATTTGGAGCTCAATCAACTAGAACTATAATTATATGGAGAGGAAACTTCCTAATCTGACATTTGTAAAACGGAGCCCTTTTGGAATCAGTTATCTTATGCAACATGACCAACTAAGCCTTTGTATTGAACAGAGGCAGACCCTGGGAGGAGTGCCTTCAGCTAGGAGAAGTGTTATGTTCTATTATAATTTAATTGTTTTATAGCCTTTTTCACCACAATGAGACATCTGCTGTCTGTATCTGGAGCAATAATAGATCAGACTGGCTGAGGTGGTAGCAAGCAGTGTATACCCCTCTAAACTATTATCCCATTGTTTAGAGTTACTTTATTATGTTTCAAATGACACCTTCCGCAGTTTAAGTCCAGGAAGACTATCCACTTCTCCTTTAAGGCAAAATTTATGAATCATAGAATGGTTATGAAAGGGAAGAAAAAAAGACCGTACTCTATTATGAATGAAAAATGATTTCTTTTTGTGTCTTCAGTCTGAATGATTTGTATCAACATCAAGAGGGGGAAGTACAGCTGCCTATCCATTGTAGTCTATTTTCCCTATAGCACCATGTGTTGATGCTAATGCAGGCCAGTGGTCTTTTAACACTTGCTGTTTCTTCCTGCTTTGGATTTCAGCTGATGCTTTGCTGGTAGTGCAGTACATTTTAAGATGGAGGAAGACTGCTATGACAAGGTCACTGCCTGTTCTGGTTAGGTTGTGGACCTCAGCAGATACAGAAGAATTCAGCAGAAGCTGTTACTCAGGAACAAATTAAGAATGATATCCTCTCCACATAGTCCTCCAAGAAAAAAGCTGAGATCAACTAATTTTACTTTCTAACCCAACCTAGTGTAGTGCACAAGCGGTTTTAAGTTGTACCTGTCTTACAACGTGGGGCAGCCGAGGTGTTGAGCATTGTCCTCTGTGGTGCTTTATGCCCAGCTCTACCCTCCGTTCTTGTAGGCACGAGACTTCTGGGTATGAACTCTGCATTTTGCACTCTTCCCCCTCAGTGCCCAGGAGGAGGGAATTAGCTTGCTTTGTGCTGCCTGATTGACACTAAAGAAAGACGACTGGGTCGATAATCTGTTGCAAAATCTTGCCTTGCCATCTCTTGTCCTTTTGGAAGTGTGTTTGTCTGAGTCTTCCCCAAGGAAGAAGTGCTGATGTGCAGTTAGCATATGTATTGGGGTATAAATGCTATCTTTAGGAGACCATGGTAAGAAGAAGTTGAGCTCTCTTATGGAATCTAGAAACTATAACCATACTGATCTGCATCTCAGAAACAGGTGCCCATCACTGCTCAGGGAAGAGTCATGTCTGAGCAGAAGGGGCTTTGTTCAGTAATGTTTTGTTGGATGTTTATGGGTCTAGGAAAGATAGACATAAAAGATCAGAGAAAGGGACAAAAAGGCAGCAGGAGGGAGAGCTTGGACAAACTATTGGCGTGTGGCCTGGACAACAGCTTTGAGGATGAACCTATGCCTTTAATTGACTCTCAGGGGTCAATTGCTGAGCAAGTCTGGTTTGCTCTATTGGGCTGCATTTATTTTTGTGGCTGCAAATAACACTGGAGGATCTTGTTCGAAACAGGTTGTTAGTCAATCCCTATTGGGGACTACTGGTTTAGGTAAGATTTCTATATGTGGGGTTGAGGGTGCACTTTTAATGCTGTGAGAATGAAAGCACATTTCTTGTCTGTGTTTGGTGAAGTTGTATTGTTCAATCACTATGGTTGCCTTAGGAAGCCGTGGACACTTTTGTTCAGTTCTGGAGCAAGATCTGTTCCAGCAGTTCTGGTCTTTCTGCTGTCAGACTTCGTCTGGATGCATCTGTTGGATCTGTCAGATGGCAAAAATAATCATGGACATCTGCATTTCCATGGCCCTACTTTCATGCTTCTGTGCAGAGAACTCCATGAAAAAGGTTATTGAAATTTGTATTTTTTAAGGTATTTTCTGGAGGGCTGGAAAGTAGATGTTCTTGTGCCTAACATATTGCTGTCCACCCTCGTGGACACTTGAATGTACTTCTGACATCTAGAAAACTGTGTATGGTTGTACAGTGGTGTCTGAACTTTTTTCCTGGGATTGTGGGGCACAGTGACACAAACCAGTCCATCCCCATGCAATGTATTCTACTCACCCTGTGCCAGTTGTACAATATGAGAGCTTACTGATGTGGTTGTCATTGTGTTGAAGTTAGAAGGTTTTTATTTTTTGAAACTATTAGAAGAGGAGCTTTCAGGATTTCCCAAGACTATGTATCCCTATTTGTTCAAACACCTTGTGTATTTGAAAATTTTATCAATGTGGTTTAAATAAAGGAAATTATTTTGAGTGCCATAGCAGTATAACACATTCCAACTTTGTCAAAAATACCTTGTCAACTAATGCTGAAGTTAGTTCTTGTGTCATGGTCTGATTTGCGTATTTTTGAAGTGATGAATTAGATAACAGTCATATTATGCTTATGAAAAGGTGTGAAGTTAAGTGCATGCTGTAGCTCTGCTTAAAGCAACCTCCACTTTAGTACAAGCAATGGAATTTGTCATTTGCCTGAAGGCATTAAACCTTACAGTACTTATGCATCATGGTGAATTAGCTTTCTGAGAGTTATAGATATAGGTGACCAATTTGTTAAAGGATATGTCTTTTAATTGATCTTGCAAAAAGTAGTGTGTTCTGATCTGTACTTGAATATTCTTAATGCCACCGACTTTATGCTTTCCATATCTAGCTTAAATTAAACAAAACAGATGCACGGCTGTTTTTGAAGAAATTAGTTGTTGATTACTTTGTCATAGAGACGGTTGTGTTTAATTTTTATTATTTGGGGAATGAAATCCCTGAAAAAGGAGTTAAGCTTGCATGTAAGTATCAGCCATTTAGGTGTGTAAAAGAAATACAATGGGGGTGATGCTTCATTTAGTTTTTGTTATGCTTGAGGGGGAAAAAAAAAATCTGTAAATATGTAAAAATTGGAAATGAATTAATAAAAGCAACCAAGCAGGAACACTGTGCTGTAGAGATTCCATTAGGGATGAAAAACAAGTTAAAAAAAAATTGCCTTAACTTGTTAGGAGACTACTGTCATTGAATTGCTAATCATATAGTTATTGTACTGTTTTGGCGAATACTGGTATGAACAGTGAAATCTGGCTATTTTCTTAGTGTATAGGAAACTTTATGCACTCCATGAAAATAAATAAACCCATGGTAATTTTTGCTTTCCTGTAGAAACAAAGACCTTTGCTAATTAAGGGCAACAGCTTAGGTTGGGATGGTCTGAGGAGGTCAAGGCTAACATGGGCAATGGCTCACCACTTGCTCATGTTGTCTCCCTTGTACAAACCGATGAGTCACTCGTCAATCAACTCTAAATTGCTGCTGTTTCAAGTGAATGGCATTTTAGGGTAAAGCACCATTGATTTTTATTTGGCTTTGGATGCTCCACTTGAAATAGTGACAATTGAGGAATCCATTAGCAGCTCATAGTGTGGGTCCCTGCAGGCAGTGATGTGACTATCTTGGGACTGTGGCTTTTTCAGTCAAGTCAGGGCATCCCTGCTTATCAAGTCCATGCTTTCAGTGACTGGGTAGCTTCCATAATTGCAAAACCTTGAATGTTTCAGTAATAAATGCTGGGAAATGCAAGGCATTACTGCAAGTACCAATTCCCTTATCATGCATATGCTTTTTTTGACACTTCTGTCCGAGAATTCCTAATAGCTTTTTGAAGCTGAATGTCTTTCTGTCCTTTTTTGTGTTACGGTACAGTTGCTGTGTTCAGGTTAGAACAGCAGATGAGAAGGTTTGTTTTTGTTTTCTCTCTCTTTGGTCTTATTTTTTTTCTCCTTAGAAGCCATACTGTGCCAGAGGACTGATTCTTTGAAAGAGAAGTATGATCCTCATATATAGCTCCTAATTCCTTACTCATTTTGATTAATCTTTGTGCCGTCATCTTTGTAGTAACTTTGCTTTGCTACCATTTGGGTTATTTTCTCATGTTTGTGATGGTTAAGAAAAGTAATGAAATAATCACTTGTAATAGAAATCCTTCTTTTTGTGTGTAGGAAACTCACAATTGGGTGCTACCATAGTAGATGCATTGGATACTCTTTATATCATGGGGCTTCACAATGAATTCAGAGAAGGACAAGAGTGGATTGACAAAAATCTTGATTTCAGTGTGGTGAGTAGAGCTTGCCCTAATATTTCTCTAGTCCTTTTCACAGTGTTCCTCTTGAGGGAGACTGAAGCGGTCCTTCAACTGGAACTTAAAAAACCTTATGATTCAAAGTATCAGATGTAAGCTTTAGTGAAGTTTTCTGTGTTTGTAACTTTTAAAAAGGAAAGACCACCCCAACCCTTTCATGCTTTAAGTAAACATACATCTATATATTGTGTTTTCAAAGTACAAATTATAATTGCATAATGGAAGAATGGGAAAGTGATCAGTGAGAACCAACAGGGCCTCAGAAATGAAGGCAGAAAGATGAGGCTTTACTAGCTGATAGTAGTTGGAAATGAGAGGTGTGAAACACCATTTCCCCCCAAACAATGGTGTATAAATTACTTAACAATACAATCCCTTCTTCTATGTCCTTGAGATGTTTTAACATGAGGAATGCTTCTTGAGTGATCTTAGCTTGCCTACAGGTTCTGAATCTATCACCAGAATTTCCCAGTTGTTCATACAGCATCTGGCATTCTTCATGTGTGCAGAGTTTGAAAGTGTTAAGTGGAAGAAATGGCTTTTATCCTTATTGCTTAGAGTTCTTATTAATAATTTTGGAACTGTCACAGTTGCTATGATGGAATTTTATTTCAATCCTTGGACTTGGCTTGTGGTTCCAAAACTAATTTTTTATTCAGTAATGCACAAAATGAAATGTAGGTATACCATCAGAATTGAGCAGATGCTTACTGTTGTTTTTATATTATATCCTATATTTCAGAAATTATTTGTTTGGGGTTTTTCCTTTTGTTTTATACATTGACTGTCTGGCAAACATGAAAGAAATTCTACTCTACTTTTTTCAGTTAGTGACAGATAATTATTCAGTCTAAAACTGAAGACCCTAAATATATCAGAGACAGTGTAGACATAATGGTACCATTATGAGACTGAACTAAATTACTTCCATAACTTTTGTCTGATCTGAGGCAATCTCAATATAAATTTGCGGAATTAATCTAGGTGGAAGAAATTTACATGACCCACTGGGGTTCAATTTCGGCTTTCTATGTATTAAAATAAAAAGTTTCTGAAGGTTAATGAGTTGTCTTCTATATACATCAGACTTGAGTAATTTCCTTATATGGTTTGAAGTTTATAAATAAATACGTACATAAATTTGTTCTTCTTAAATTCTTTTACTGGGAAATAGAAATCATTGCTTTCACTCTACGCTCTACCATTGCCTGTGTGATTTGTGGCTTTAATAGGTATTAAGTGGCATCATATGGTGCATTATTGATATTTTTCTAATATTACCTGTATGTGAATAAAAAGACATTTTTATTAAAAACCTATATTTGGGAGTATTTCAAACTTTAGACATTTAATCATCAGTGCTATTTAAGGAAATCTTTAAAGTATTCATATAATCTTTCTGAAATAAGTAGTATGTGCAAAATGCATTTATTTTGGATGCAAGCAAAATGCATGAGACAACCTCAGGTGCCATAGAAATAGTGTGAAAGACGTACCTATAACTATCGTTTCAACTGTGTGCTAATTGGTGGGTCAGCTTGTGCAGGAGTGACTTTTTCTGGATGAAAGGAAAAGTTTCCCTTATCTCAATCTTTTAATAGAACTACATTTCAGTGTCTAATGGGTTAAACAAAGAGAAGCTTATGGAGGAGACAGATGGGGGAGTGTATGCAGACAAAGGAGTGAATGGGGTGCAGAGGGAGGCAGAAAGATGTTGAAATTATCTAGTTATTTTTTCAGTGCATTAAATGGGTCAAAAGATACTGGTGAATTTAGCCTGAAAATATTAATGTGGAGGAAGGCAGTAAAATGACTTATTCTCTTGATTTTCACAGTGATCTTGCAGTACTTGTTGTCATAACATTACATACATAGGGGCTATTCCTAGATAGAGACTATGTTAAAATGGAGCTCTGAGTTTGAGATTGCACATTGGTAATTCAGGTTAAGAAAGCACATTACAGGAATTCTCTAATTATTATTCTACTTTATCCTATAAATCCAGAAGACTTGGTGTTATGCTTAAACTTGAGAGAAAAGTTGCTGAATTATGGAAATGTACAGTCCTTGCCTTCTTTCCCACCATCCCCAAACAACTTTAATTGCACTTTGTAGTGATAATATGATTAGAGAGCAAGAGAAAAACTAATTTGATTTTTAAAAATCAGTTGAAGCTGTAACTGGAGTTATCACTAGGTGTGGTGAAGATGTGCACAGGAACTTCAGTATGGATCTAGATACTGAAACAGTACAAACCCTTGCTTACAGGTTGGTTTGGGGTATGTACTTGCCTCTGCCTTGGTGATTTCTTGTTCTTTGATTAGGGAGTTGGTTAATCATTTACTCTTTCTTTCTGTTCTAGAACTCCGAAGTGTCTGTTTTTGAGGTCAATATTCGTTTCATTGGTGGTCTTCTAGCAGCATACTACCTTTCAGGACAAGAGGTAAGGAGACTGGAAAGTGTGTCTGAAATTTAATGTATTCTATCAAATGTTGCATATGAAGAATTTTCTAGAATTTTGTTTTCTCAGTAGTTTGTAAACTGATTTTACAGCAGTAAGTTGTCTAAAGTAACCAAATTCTTAGAGTATGGAATCTTTAAAGTGTGTTTCTATGCAGGTCTCAGCCCATTTAAGATCCTTCGTTAGAGCTTTGAAATGCTTCTTTTATCAAGATGTTTTCAAAAGATATCCACTCAAGTAAATATCAGCCTGAAATGTCAAGTCACTAGCTTCTCATGCCCACAATAACTTGTTTTGATATTCTGTAACTCGATGAAGGTAGAAATAATAGTTTTGTTGCTTGTCCCGCAAGGCGGTAGATTTGCTTCACAAAAGCACTACACAATCTTCTTACCATTTTCTCAGTGACAAACTGAGAAATATCAAGCCAATTTCATCCCAGTTTTGAAACTTCTGTTAAAAAAGATCAGAGACTAGTACTTCTGAGTGCTTATGCAAGACATGCTTAGATTGAAAGGATGCCATGTACCCAAAGACTTGCAACCATGGACTACTTTGGTCTATCAGTAACATTGCTGTGACCTCTTACTTCACGTACTTTAACAATGCTGGAACCTGACCCTTTGTATAGATTCTCATGTCGTGTCTGCTACCTGTCTTTTGATCTATTGCCTATGTCTTTGATTTGGTTGGTTTTATCCTTTATTTTTCATAGCCCTTCTGTAGTGCACTACGTAAAACATGAGGCTTCTAACCATATTTCATGGCTTAAGTTTTGATGCACTTTGAGGTGTTCATATATATCTTCCCCTTTGTTTAGGGGAGCACCATGTATGTATCAATAAGTTCTTATGGATTTTAAGCCCGTCGCTCTAAAAATAACCAAGAAACCCCGTATTTTTTGGCTCTTCATCCTGGGACCACCTGTGAATTTTCTCCTGTAGGCGTGTCTTCTCTTTGGAAGAACTGCTTAGTGGCAAAGCAGAAATCCAGTGTATATCTTGAAGTTGCTAGTTTATTTCACATCCAGTACTACTGTTTCACGTTCTTCACTGCCCACACTGTCCAAGCCCCCTGTCTGCAAGCAGTCCTTTCTGCTTCAGTGATTCATGTGGTCTGTTATAGGTTAGTTTTGACCCTCTTTGCTTTGTAGTAGCTGAAGAGCTGACCTTGCATTTGTGGCAGTGAGCCTTTCTCTGCCTCCAGAATCTGTCAGCCTTAGGTCTTCCATCAGAGTTTCCTCACAGCTCAGTAAGGATTTTACCCTCAGGAAGAAATCTTGTTCCCCAGTGTTAGTCAGCCTTTTAAATTCATTGCTGTGGCATCTCTTCAGGAAGACAGCCTTTGTAGCAGCTGTTGCTTGTGTTAGAGCAGTGGTGAAATTCATGCCCTGTTAGTTTACGCTTCTGTCCTTACAAAAATCACTGCATGAGCAACCCAAATATTAACTTGAGGCAGCTTCTGAATTTCACCTACAGTAGCATTATTAACCTACCAGTTTTCTTTTGAAGCCCCTCGGAACAGAAGTTTTCTTTTGCTGTCAGACATAAGCAAGGAAAAATGCACGTGCTTTTATTTCTGTAGCAAAGAAGTTTCAAGGAGAGCAGTCTGAGCTGCATGTGCCTTTCAACTTGTGCCAAGGAGCAGCTGAAGTAGCTAAGCTGGAACCCTTAGTAGTCAACATAGTTCCTATTGTAGTGCAAGTGACCTCAGCAGCATGATGAAGGATGCTTCCTTTCCAGAAACCTGTGTTTCTGTTGCTTGCAGCTCAAATCACATTAAGTACCATGTGATCAATGAAGCCTTTAAGCATTGAGTAGAGCAGTCCCACATCATCATTTCAGCTAGGAACATTGATCCTGCCTCTGGATAACTTACTCAAAGTGGAGCAGGCTCCTTGGAGTCATCTACCGTGAATATGAAAAACCTCAGAGAAAAAGCAAAGATCACGGATTGGTAGCTGGATTATTTGTATAGGAGAATACCAGACCTGTGCACAAGATCCTTAACAAGATTTTTTTTTTGCCCCAGTACGCAGATGGGTGCAGCCAAACACTGCCAAAACACGTGTTCTGCCTGCACTTGTAAAGATGAGTATTCCTTTCAGTTGCTTCTAACCACTTGGTAGAGTCAAAACAAGCTCCTTTACTTAAAGAGTTTTCATCAACACAATTTATTTTTTTCCTTCTTGGAAAGCTTTTACCCGCTGTCTTTCCTAAATTTTGGCCACTGGGCTGCCTCTTTTGTTTCTAAAATTATTTTTATGGCATCAGTCTCTCCAATGGACTTTAAATGCTTTATGACTTGTGGTAGAAGATTACTCCTGTCAAGTGTTCATATGTATTATCTTTATTTTCCAAAAGAATAAGTACTAAAAAAAGTGTTCAGACTGCATTTCTTTCAAAATAGTGTGGCAGACAGGACTGCTTCTGGCATCTGAGAGACCTACTTAATTTGCCAAGTTGTATGGTTTCTCTGCAGTTTATCAGTTTGGATAAGACAAGCAAGGGGACTTGATGCTTTTTTGGTAATTGAGCCCAGGGGAGACACACCCGCCTCTGAGAACTCCTTGGGCTTGGAAACAGATCTGTTTGAGAAGTGACTTCCAGTCTAGTTTTCCCTCTTCTGTTTCCAAGAAGGGAAGGTATTCCTTAGCTCAGGATGGGGGCATGCTTGTTTTCTTTTTTTTACTACATTCAGCCATGTGAGGAGACACTTCTTGAATGCTGCAAGCCTGATCCCAGCTGTTTGGATGTTCTGCCTGATCAGGTTGTGAACATGCACGTGGGCTTATGCCTCTAAGGGAGTCTCTGTCTACTGGTAGATATCATTCCTTTGTTCATCAAGCTATCATTTACTTGCTCATATTCCCTTCCCACACCTTTTTGATATTCCAGTCCCCATCTCCTTTCATCCAAGCCTCTACTTCTGTGAGACTGTTGCTAAATACTGGGTTAGAAGGTTTTTATACAGATTTCTATACTTTTGCGTATCTTGTTTGATGTATTGAAAAATAGGTCCAATACAATGAACAGGCTGCTTGGAATTAATTCCGGTTTTCCCATTTTAATTTATAAATTCTGCTTAGGTCTGCAACAAGAGTTACTGCTGTTTGGTGATGGTTATAAAAGCCGTTCTTATTTCATCTTGACTCCTATCATTTAGTTCTATTAAAGATGCTGTGATGACAACCACAAGAGAAAGCGCCCAAGACGTTAGCTGTGGAAGTTCAGTTACTTTTAAGTGGCCACATTTGGAGAATTTGATATTCAGCATGGTTTATCTATATGCTTTTGCCCTTTGTATAGAGAGGGTAATTGTGCTTGATAGGATTTTATCTGATATGAGTCATAACGGTAAATATTGATCATAGTTTAAGTATAACTGGCTATTAAGATGAAATTGTCCTGTTTAATGCTTTTGTTAGAAACATGTTTAGTTTCTAAAAAATATTTAGCACATCTAGTGGCATGACTCTGTGGTCTCCATGCCATATTTTAGCTGTTGTGTTACTGGTAGTACTTAGAGGAGCATTGACTGTGATCATGGTTTTAATGGTGCTGGTTACCGTTAATGGTAAAATTTTAAACCTTTCATATTAGTTTGGGTATTGCTTTTCCTCCTTTCAGTAAGAGTTCCCTCTTACTGCAGTGGATGGGGAAATAATGAAATGTATCTCCCTTACAACCAAAAAAAGCTACTCTTTTTAGCAACTCACAACTTGACTTAAAATGCTGTAGGCTCGTCCTGTCCAGTGTTGTTACAAGCCTTTCTTTGTGAAACATGAAACTTTGAATCTTTTAACAGCTCAACCTTTTATGTGTGAGAATTTCTGCTCCACTTCCTTGGGTGATGAGCGTGTAAAGCTAAAGTTTGAGGAGGATGTGTTTTCATATCTCTGGCTGAATGTCTTGGTTGTCTTGCCTCGCTGTACGTTTCTGTTAATGTAGAGAGACAAAATTGTTTGTCTAACAGGCAGTTCTACTGATTTGGAGAAAATCACCATCTTTCTCCGTTTCTCGATGTCAGAATGCCTTTTGAATAGAAGAAAATCAAGATATGCCTGTGAAACTTGACACAGTGGAAAATCTGCCTGTGCATTCTGTTTTGGTCTTCTTAAATTGAAACAACAGTGAGGTTTCTCTGTTGGCAGGGGTAGAAGGTTTGCAGTCTTGGAGGCCCTTGTTTAAATCTTCTGCACAGTAAGTTTTTTCTGGCTGATTGTGAACAGGCCATCTGGTCTCTGGCTAGGTGTATGTTGTCAGATCTAAGGTGTATATTATCCAAGAGCATGCCCTTTTTGTCTCGGTTCCTTTGTAGGAATGAGGTCCCAATCTGTCATTGCTTTTGAGATCCTTGGGGGTTTTTTTGAAGCCTTGAGCCTGTGGCTTTTCTCCGAAGTACATTATTGAAATATATAATGAATATATGCTAAAACAGTGGAATATAGAATGAGTTGGGTTGGAAGGGACCTTAAAGATAGTCTAATCCAACCCCCCTGCATGGACAGGGACATCTTTCAGCAGATCATGTTGCTAAAAGCCCCATCTGACCTGCCTTTGAACGCTTCCAAGGATAGGCCATCTGCAACTTCGCTGGGCAGCTTGTTCCAGTGTATCACCACCCTTATTGTAAAAAATACCTTCCTTATATCCAGTCTAAACCTACCCTCTTCTGGATTTAAAACCATTGCCCCTTCTCCTGTCACTACCGGCCATGGTAAAAAATGTCTCTCTATCTTTCTTATAAGCTCCCTTTATATATTGAAAGACAACTATAAGGTTTCTGCAGAGCCTTCTCTTGTAGGCTGAACAACCCAACTCTTTCAGCCTTTCCTCATAGGAGGGGTGTTCCAGCCCTCCGATCGAATGGATTAAAACTTTTACATTTTGCATTTTGATCAAAAAGGAAGGGTGATTGCGGTTAAGCTGTGTGAATTAAAAGTTTTCCACCTTCTGAGTTCACAGGAATCGCTATGCTTC